CACATGCTTGAAGGTGACAGCAAGGGTGTGCATGTGTGAATGAGCTGAAGGGGGTGGAAAATGTGCCCGCACCAGGTTTGTACACACTGGGCCCCAAAACCTGCACAGGTGCATGTGCCTGTGAATGTTGGAAGAGGGGTACAGACACACACAGGTCTGAACATATCTCTACATACATGACCCTGTGTGCATGCAGGAGTGTGTACACCTACTGAATTATTATAAAATTACACTGACCCTTACAGAAAATCCATACCGGCCTCGGCCTTTCTCCCCCGACCTCTCGACCTCTGGGGTGCCTGAGGAAAGAGTTGACCCGGTCACTGCCTCCCCCTAGTCAATGAGACTTTCTCCATTAGCATAAAACATGAATCTGCTGGCAGCTTGACAAATTATAACTAGCAGCCAGAGTTTTGCCAACTGGCTGGCTTGGGCGCTGTCTATTTATCATTGAAAATGGTAAATCATAAGAATCCAGATGACTTAATTATTCAAATCCACCCAGGACCCGGAGAAGCTGCAGTTCCGTCAATCTCAGCCCTGGGCTCGGGGAGAAGGGCAGGGAGAGAAAGGCTCGTGCGGTGGGGAAGCAAGTTCAATCGCCATCCTCCCCTCTGCCAAGCCGCAGGTCCTCCTCTACAGCCTCTTCCCCTCCCTGCCTTCCTGTCCATCTTTTCAGAAATAAGGCTGGCGGAGTGCTGGGGTGGCTGGTCCTCCCAAGCGTCTCCTTCACCTGTCCCCAGGCCCACTGCCCCTTGCCCACGCTGGGTGCTTCTCAGCCTCTGTGTGGCGCGCCCAGCTCTCTCCATTTCAGTGCCTTTATTGTAATATCTTCTCTTACTCTGATTCTTTTCACCATTTCTCTTCCTCCCCCTACAGATGGTTACTGACCCCCCCACACACACGTGGCTTTTCTGATGGAGTTTGGCCTGCTCTCCTGGCCCCTTTGTTCTTACTGTCCCTGAAGTCCCCACTCAGGGTCCTCACACTCCGCATTGTACCATGGCCCACCCCTGCACTGCAGTCCCAAACGTCGGCCTGCTCTTCTCTTTCCTGGGGGGCCACGTGGAAGCCCAAAGTCAGGGCATGATGTTGAGCTTGCTCCCCATCGTTCCCTTTCTTCTGTGGATTTCTACCCAGCTCGGGAGGCAGTGGACAGGCTGTCAGAGACGCGGCACCCCCCGCATTCCATTGGAGCAGGGCTGTGTTCCAAGCAGGCCTATGCCTGGGCCATCCCCTTGGCTCCCAGCATGAAAACACCTTAGGCCTCCACTGAGGACCTGCCCTATGCCAGCCCTTCCAGAAGAAGAACTCATTCACAGAACAACTGTAGATCCAGAGGTCTGATGCCGGCCGCCTAGGCAGTGCTTTGATCTGTGGCTCCTTTTATCTTTGTGTCCCTTAAATATGTCCACTATTTCCATTTCTTATAGCCCTGGACCCCAAGGAGTCTGTTCTTCCATCCCCAGAAGAACAGTAATGTCACAAAGCCCCCCTCTCTGAATGGCATTCTGGCTTCTTTCGGAGGGTCTGCTCTCTCTGCAAGAGCCCCGGGGACCCATCAGCCCACTACTCTGTCTTCAGATGCCCCTCAGTTTGCTCTTCATGTGAATCAGTTTGGTTCCATCAGTGTGGATGTGTGTGATACACCCTTCTGTGGATAACCTGGACTCAGGGCATATTGACAGCTTGTGCCTAGTAATGTATGTGCCTGCACACGTATGGAGGCCAGTGCTGTGTGTGTGTGTGTATGTGTGTGTGTATGTGCACTTGACACACACTTCAATGAAGAGCCCTTATGCTAGAACAACAAGTGACAATGTCCCCACCAACAGGACACCTTAGGAAACAGCCCTTTCACTCCATTCCATTTTAAAGTCTCTGAGCAATGTTGCTCTTAATAAAATATTGGACTTTCATAGAACTCTAAAGAAGATGCTACCTGATTTTGCTACTGAAAGTAAGTTCTTCCTATAGTCTAGCTTTCCCTGCCTTTCAGGGTAGAGTCAGGGGATGGTCAGGAATCTTGGGAGGGGACACCCCATCCAGAGAACATATATGACATACAGAGGACCCTTCCACACCTACACATTCCTCCTGTGAAAGCACTGCACCCCTCCCTCTTTCCTTCCTCCTACCTTCCAGTCCAGGTTGATATTTAACAAGGGCAGTGGTGAGGGATCAAGACTCAAAAGCAAGCCATGCAGCTGGAAGGCAGATCAATAAAGGGAGACAGATTGGAGACAGGTTTCTCTCACTTCTTCGCCACCTCCCCCACCCCTTCTGGCTCAGCACCCCTGCCCAACTCCTGACAGCAGGTGGGCGGCAGAGCCAAGCCCTGGCCTCTCTCTGCCCTTCTAACTCAAACAGGTTCCTAATCCCTGGGTGGAGGGTAAACAGCCTCCAAGCACAGCCAGGATCAACCACAGAAATGCCACTAATGTATCTGGAGGCATGGTCCCTGCCCCTGCCCCCAGCCCGTGTTACTAATTAGCCCACCGGCTTGGGAGAAGCTGGGAGGAGTGGCCGGGATGCCTTTGTGCAGGCTCCCTGCAAGCCTGGTTCTAGCTCTGGATAGTGTCTCTGGTGCCAGACAAGCTGAGGGTGACAGAGGGATTCCCACTCCCTCCCCACTAACTGACTCCTAAATCAGCTCAAAGGCAGCCGGAGGTTCCTTCCCTCTGCACTCTCCCTGGATCTCCCATCTCCCCTTGGCTGTTCACAGCTGGGAGGCAGGTGGGAGACAAGAGGGAGAGTGAAATCAGCTCCGGAAATCAAACGACCCAATAAAAAATTAATTGTCTAATTAAAACCATGAGGAAGCCCCTTGCCAGAGTTTGGCTCTGAGTCGTCAGGGCTATAAAGGGTGGGAAAATGAGTCTCAGCTCCTAATAAATTCCTGATTTGCAGCTTGGTCTATCAGCGAAGGAGCACCGAGCGTTCTGCCTGGCTAGGCCTCCTGGAGGTCATTCCACCCCTTTCTGGCCCCCAGTTCAGGCCATCACACCCTTCACTCCACGCATATCTGGCTCAAGCCCAAAAACAGGGTCTTATCAAAAGAGACAGAAGCCACCATCCAGAACAGGCAAGTGTTCCCGTGCCTGAGCCTCAGTCTCCCTGATCTGAGGCTTACCCATTTCTTCTCGGGCTTTCCTCAGGAAAGGAAGGTTGGAGAAACTTCCTCAACTGGAGTTCTTCATTCAGCTTAACTATTAATTGTTATGAGTTTTTGTAGAAGGTTTGCTGTGACCTCACTCCCTCCACTTTTGTAAAAAGTACATTTTTACATAATTCACGAACTGACAGATTCCCCTCTCTTAGACCTTCATGTTGAGTTTTGCAGATGAATGACAGAGAACCAAGCTCAGAAATTCATTTCCCATCTAAAAAAACATACTGCTCTCATTCTTCCCAGTTGACCGAATCCTCTGGAAGATTGAACACAGAGCTTGTCCAGAAAGGCATGCAGTTAGGCAATGCTCAAATGCAGGTGGAGGCCCCCACCTCCTCCCTGGGCGATTGTATCACCTCTTCACTTGGTCTGCCGTGTCAACACAGCCTTCAGTTTCTACTCCCTCCCTTCCCTGGCCAGGGCAAATTCACAGTGCCTTCTCATCAGTGGCATTCATTCATTTGTCCTTGCAGGAGAAAGGGGTGGCTAGCATATTACACTCATTTATTATATAAAATACATGAAGGCATCCATGTCTGTGATTAGCTTCTTTAAACAAACATGGCAGAACAAACAAGGGTTGTCCTTCAAAACAATTCCCTTAGGAGGACTTATATGTACTTATTCTACATGAACCACTAGTGATTAAAACATTTCTGCAAGGTCTTCTTTAAAAATGGACTTTAGAGGGGCTGGGGCCGGGGCTACGCGGTAGAGCACCTGCCTGGCATGTGTGAGGCACTGGGTTCGATTCTGAGCACCACATAAAAATAAATAAATAAAAGCCACACACCCTGAAGGCAATGTCAAAGGAGGAACTGCAACCTTGTGTCGCTGCAGCCTTGCTCCAAGGAGGAGAGCTCCCCTCTAGGTGACTACTGGGAGGCACTCCTTCAGTCACGGCTCACTATGGCCACATCTGGAGCATATTATTTATTGTTCCTGATGATCCTCCTTTCATTCATCTGGTTGTTATTTTTCATCCTAAACAATGAACTAAGCTTTCCTAAGAAGGAGAAAAAGGAAAGGAAACAAATTCCTAACCCCCATCTGGGTCAGGATCCCGTTTCTGTTTCAACAAATTCCCATGCACAAGTGTGACCCACGTGGCCAAGCCTACTTCTCAGAACCTCAAACCTAGAGGCTTGACGGTAGACTGGTCTGCTGGACCTCACATTAGCTCCACTCGTACTTACCTATGACTTATCCTGCCCCACCTAGGAATTTTAAGACACTTTTTCTTTCCCCATGGATAGACTTTGTTATTTTGAATCACTGCTAATTTAACCTAAGACTGTACACCACTCCAAGGACCAGCTGTTCCGTTTTCTGGTGGCCACTGATGAGGACTTAGTTTTGGAGATTATTTTGCCCATCTCTATGTCTCCGGGCAAAGCCTCATTTGAATGCTGCTAGTTCTCAGGTTGCCTGTTTGAGCTTATGAACAGAACCCTGGTCTCAAAAGGACATTAGCGGGGAAGAAAAAGGATATTAAGGCTGCCTGCTATCTCACATCTCTGGAGGGAGAAGGGGCATCTTGCACACATGAAATTCTATGTGAATGGCACCACCTAGAGTTGTGCTCCAGGAATGCAATGATTGGTGTTCCCAGAGCTGAGCAAGGCTACCATCCTGCCACCCAGAGAGGCCTGGTGATCCAGTCAGCCTCACTCATCCCTCCAGGATGAAAAACCCAAGTTTTGACAACTAAGGTGTCAACACCTCAGCCCCTAAAAAGGGCTCAAAGAGATCCTGCCTACCTCATTGGCAGCTAGGAGATCTGGGCTCAGCCCACAGCTCACCAATCTTCTCTTCATCCACTTCAAAGGCAACTCCAGCTTCAAGAGGACCCCAGGATATGAAGCAAGGCTGTTCTGTTCCAAGCATGGTGTGGGGCGATGCTGCCAGGCACAGGTCAGGCTGGGCCTAGAAATCAGAGTGGGACCTCAGACCTCAGCCATCCCAGAGTCGGGGGAGGGGAGAGCGGGTGATGGAGGATCGGGTGCAACCCTGAGTGCAGAACAAATGCTTACAATTTTCCTGTTCCCTCCTAGACACCAGGCCCGCCAGACTCTCACTTGGGTCCTCACCAGCTGGCAAGCCTGTTTTACCTCCTTGCCATCTGTCAAGCCTATTCACCTGAATGTCCTCTGCCTCCTCCCCCTTGCCCTTCCTTTCCCTTCTCTCAATCCTCAACCTCTTTCCCAAAGTCTCTGTACAAAACCTACTGACCTTGCAATCTCCACAACACCCCCTTGAGCACTGCTTCTCTCAGCTTGCAGAGCCCTTAAGATCCCTGTGTCCTTTCCTTACTAGACAGAAGCTCCTACTCACCCCATTAAGTTGGACATCACTGATTCAGCAGGTCATAGAAGCTCAGCCACAAGAACTCCACACTGAAGCTAAGACAGCACTAGCACCTGGAGGAGAGGGTCAGCCAGTCCACAGCCAACCAACCCTGACGAAACTCCTCCTTCATGCAGGCACCATATGAAGTAGGGGAAGTCTGGCCCCAAGAAGCATCTGGTTTCAGGTGACAAAAACAAGACACATCCACTCCAGATTTTAAAATAATAAGAAGAAATCTGACCATAAAGGTGAGCTTTATGAAAAATAAGCTCCAGAGGCAAGAGAAAGTGCCGTTAACTTGGGTCCTCGCAAAAGACTCCAAGAGGACGTCAGATAGGAGCGGCCCTGGTGGCTTTGGAAAGGCTGAAGGTCCATTGCAGGCCTGCATGCTGCTGAAGAATCATTGCAAGGGTTGTTCTTTATATCAGTATCCGTCATGGAAGAAAAATGGGCTCCAGCTACAGCAGGGTAGCATTACTGAATACTGACTCTCTGTCAGGCACTGGGCCGGGCCCTAGGAATACAAAGAAGGCCTTACCTTCAATGCTCTGCCAGCCTAGATGGGGAAGAAACCACAAGTTAATCCTTATAGTACAACATGGGAAGAGCCAATACTAGATACACTCAGGGCATCACGGGGCACCATGTACACACCTAAGCCTCTGTTGGGGATGGGAAAAGAAAAGGGTCAGAAACAGCTTCCTGTAAAGCAGGTATGTAAACGAAGCAAAATCATGCAAATGATGCTTCTTCTTCTCCCATGCCATATCCAACTGAATTTCCACCCCAAGAAAAAACATTGGCTTTTCCTTTGGTACAACAGATTGAACCCAGTGGCACCACTGAGCCATATCACCAGCCCTTTTTATTTTTTATTTTGAGATGGGGTCTCACTAAGTTCCTTAGGGCCTTACTAAGTTGCTGAGGCTGGTCTTGAACTTGCAATCCTCCTGCCTCAGCCTCCCAAGCTGCTGGGATTACAGGTGTGCCCCACGTGCCAGCTGCCACTGGCTTCTTAAACAAAGGTCACAGTGGGGTGTCAACATCCAGCCCATTCTCTGTCTCCTGTTATGATCTAGGATGCCTCCCTGCCCCATCAGACCCTACAGTGCATCCCTCCTGCCAGCATGATGCCTAGGAGTTCTATGATTCCCAAGACTTGACAGAAGTGGGGAATGGGGAGGAAAGAGCATCCTAATCCCAGAATTCTCATACTCTGAAGCCTTCCTCTTTCCAGCCCTTGGGGAGGATGCCCCTGTTTCCCCCTACCCCAGTTCTCCATCCAGCTCCCTCCCCGCCCTGCTGCAGCTGCTCCACTCCCCCATCTTGAAAGAATGCACCCTCCCCTCCAAGTCTCCTCCACAGGGTGCAGAGCAGGAGGGAGGCAGCATATGGCCCCATTTTCCTTGGCCTGTGTAAGCTATTTTGGAAATGAGAAACCCCCTTGCCCTTTCCTCCTCTCTGGGGAGCACCCTCCCTCCCTCTGCACATTCCCCAGAAGTTCTCAGACTGAGATCCGCCCTACGTGCAGTTATGTGGTGAAATCACCCCTTTCCTCCCCCAGAGGCTCTGAAACTGGGAAGAGAGCGGATTCAACCCTTTGATGTAGGCACGTTTTAAAAGGCCCACCTGTCCCCTCGCTCCCTACGACCCCCGCCCCGCCTGAACTGCTGACTGCTGGAGCCCCTCATCACAGCTTTAAATCCCCGGCTACCCCTGCCCCAGCTTGGCCCAGATCGGTCACACGCACACCCTCTCCTGCTGGGGGTAATCAAACCCAACCATGCTCACTCAGGGACATCTGTCTCCCGCCAATACGGAATGATCCCAAACTCGAGGGGTTCTGTGACACTTAAAAGCTTCAAGCAGGAAGATCTGCAATTTCTCTTGGACCAGGGCCTGTGGGGAGGGTCGCTCAGAAACCCCTCGTTTGATGTTGTGCTTTCATGGCTGCGGTTTGATCCAGATGTTCCCCAGTTGTGGGATTTTCTCACTGGGAGGGAGGGGCCCTTGGCTGTGAAGACATTTCCATCCTGTGCACATTTGGATCTGGGCTGCTTGGGAGGGGGAGTTCTTCCAGCTCTCGGCAACCCCACCCTTTCCCCCAGGTCACATCCTTTCCCTTAACATCCAAAGAAGAGAGAAGAATCCCGAACAGGGAATTCCCACTAGCTTGCTGGCTTGCTGTGTCACTGTCCAAAAACGGCCCTACATCTCTGTTCTTCTGGTTTCATAAGATAGAGCTGGAGTTAGTTCCCCATAGTGGTTCCTAAATCATGGGAATAGGAAAGGGAGTTCAAGAATCAAATTTCTGGCCAAGATACAAAAATTATCTAAGAAATTGTGAAAGGAATTGGACCCAAAGTGGATGAGTCAGGGTTCTTGAAAAAGCAAGAGACTGCCCCTCTTCCAGGACAGTCTCTCAAGGACAGAAGTGAACTTTTATGACTGTCTGCTCCCTCAGAGCTTCAAAAGGTCAAGGTCATGTCCCCTCAAGGGCTTCAGTGAAACCCTGGAAATCTTTCTTTCAACTTTAAGAGACTTCAGTTCTGCTGTCCAGCCTCCCTCATTGTGTGCTGTATAGCCTGAGATGGCTGTGGTGTTAGTCCCACTCAGGGATCCTCTCAGGCCTCTGGCAATCCCTCAAAGGCCTTCTGGAGTCACCTAGATTAAAAAGAAAAAAAAAATCAGGTTGCTCCTGGAGCTGTGCTGGTGACCCCATAAGCACTTGGCTTCTTGCCTCCACGTGGGAGTCACAGCCTAAAATGGATAGATGGATGCCGAGCACTAGAGGACAGATGGACCCCAGCCCTTACTGGTCCAAGGCACGAGCCCATGAATGATCCTGGAGGACTTTCCTCAGCCTCAAGTTTGCGTAAGTGGACTTTGTGCCGGGGAGGGACCTGCATGGGGAGAAGCAGCAGCCTGGGGTGCTTGTTCCAAGAAGAGAAATTTCCAAGGAGGCAGAGGTTGGAAGACACTGAGTGGCACAAGACACTGGGAGGAGCCATAAGAAACAAGCCAGGGGGAAAAGGGCACTGTGCCCTCTTGGAGTAGACGGAAGGGAGGGCTGGAGCCAGAGTGGGTGGAAGGATGGAGAGAAGAGGTGAGAAAACCTCCATGTGGTTGTTCCACCTGTAGGATTGGAACAACTGTCCCCAGCTCCCTCTGCTCTGTGTAGCACATTTAGGGACAGTTTTTCTCAGGGGGGCCTGAGGGACAGTTCTCAAGCCTCTCCCTCCCCACAGCATTTAATCCAGCCCGGCACAGAGGGGTCAGGTCATGATGGAGACGGGGGTGTATGGTGATGGGGCTCACTGGCTCGAATTTTTTCTGATTCCCCCATGTCCTCTCTCCTAGGCAATCATTTCTCATTTGCCTGGTCTTAATACCCCATATGTCTCTAGCTCAAAGAGCTAAGAAACACTCCATCACTCTTAAGCTGGGCCTTGCCACCTGCAGGCCCCTCCCTCCCGCACATATGTTCACACACTGGGGCAAGTGGTGAGCTCCGGCCCCTCCAGCCCCTCTCCCCCACCCCACCCTTCTAATCTTTCTGAGAAGGATGAGAGCCTTCTCTTTAGGGGGTGGGCATGTAAGGGATCCTCACAGCTGGAGAGCAGCTGGAAGAGCCCCACCTAGCCCGTGCACTCAGGGTGACTCCCTGGAGGGGACCAGAAGCAGAAGGGCAGAAGGTGTGGGAAGCCGGGAAAATTCCTGCAGTGGGGTTTGGACTGGGAAAGGGGTGGATGCCCAGCAAGGGGTCCTCGGTCTCAGGGAGGAAATGGCCAGTGGCCAGGCACCAGCTGGCTCCTGTTCCTCTTCCCTCTCACCCACCTCTCCACTTTGCCATACCGTAGAATCCAGGTGGACACACCTACTACAACTGTCTCATCCCTCCTTGTGACTTCACCTCCTCCATCGGTGCCAATCTCTCCCCCACCCACTGCAGGGTACTAGAGTCTGATGCAAGTCTCCACCCCAGAGGCAGGCCTGACCACAGCTCCTGAGGATGCTGTGCACAGGAAGATAAGGTGAGGCCAGAACTGCTCCTGGCTCCTCTCCTGAGGGAGTCTCCCAGCCCATCCTCAGAATCGCTTTTCCTGAGCTGAGATGACGAGCTGAGAGGGGAAGGGCCAGAACGAACGAGGCTGGGACTGGGGACAGCAGTGCCCTCTGCATCCTCTTCATGTTCCTGTATGTAAATAGTTTTCCCCAAAGAACCATGGAAGGCCCCATCAGTACTCCTCCTCCTCCTCCTCCTCCTCCTCCTCTTCCTCCTCCTCCTCCTCCCCCTTCCCCCCAACCCCACAGTTACCAAGACAGAGTTATTTGGACAATCTCTACCTGCAGGTCTGGGTTAGAAGTTTGAGTGGGGCCTGGGCATGTAGCTTGAGACCTTGGACTCCATCCCCAGCACTGCAAAAAATAAAAAATAAGTAAACGGGGAAAAAAATTAGGCAGAAGTAAGAGACATCTCACCTGTAATCCCAGCAGCTCAGGAGGCTGAGGCAGGAGGATCATAAGTTCAAAGCCAACCTCAGCAAAAGCAAGGTGCTAAGCAACTCAGTGAGATCCTGTCTCTAAATAAAATACAAAATAGGTCTGGAGATATGGCTCAGAAGCCATTGACATTGAGCACCCAGTGCTTGGCACTGGGCTGGACTCTGCTGGAGGAGATGGAAGGAGAACATCTCCCTGGGCTTCCACCTCACACAACCCATTAACCCATAAAGGCACATATTACAAATCTGGGAGACTCTCATGCTTGAATAGAACTTTGTAATCTTGCCTCATTCTCATTCAGGCAGGCAATCCTATGTGAATGTCAAGCACACAAGCTAGACAGAAGAAAGAACTTCCATAGGGCATCAATACTGTATAGAAAAATCATCCAACTTGAAGGATTCTTGGGAGGCAATGAACGAGGAGCACCCTCAACTTGCTGAGCCAGAATTAAGGTAAGACTCCTGTCTGAAGGCAGCAGAGTGGCTGAGATGTCCCCTCCCCCGCCCCATCCCCCCAGATCCTACCTGGAACAGAGGGGAGGAGGAGTCTCCAGTCAATGGGGAGGAGGAGTCTCCAGTCAATGGGGAGGAGGAGTCTCCAGTCAATGGGTGTGAAGAGGAGGGAACACAGGAAGAGACAGATGGGTAGATGGAGGGATTGGAGGAGTAGGGGGACCAAGGCAGGAGAGATGAATGGTCTTGGCGGGACTGATGGACGAGGCCAGGATGGATGGATGGCGGCTGAGGTTTGTTTACTGGCAGCCCCCAGCCCACCCTCGCCCAGGGAGAGGAATGGAGGCTGGCACATCAGAGGGCTCTTAGGGAAGCTCATGGAGATGATTTAGATGGGAATGAATCAGCTCCATATGGATTAAGTGTCCCTGCAAATCCCAGGACCTTACAGATGAGGGGACAGGGCAAGGGCACTGAGGGGAAGGGGAGGGGGCAGTGTGGAGCTGGTGCAGGGAAACACAGGCCTGGAGCCGTGGAAGGGCTCGGGTGGGCAGGCCTGCGTGGACACAGGCCCCAGGCTTGCGGGTCCTGCTGTTTCTCTGCTTGGTACCAGGCTTTAGGGAAAGGCCTCCTTCCTCTTCCACAAACCCTGCCTCGCTCCCCTGAGGGGGGCGACAGTCTTTCTGCCTATGTCTTTTCGTCTTCATATTTTGGTCCCTCTCATGACCAGGCCTGTCCCTTCACTTCCTCTGTCTCCATCCACACTCCCAGTCCCTCCCTCTGTGTCTCTGCACCCCTGTCTTTTGCTCTAGAAGCATAAGTGGCCTAAGGAAAGGGCCCATTTCCTACTTACCTCGGGCCTTAGCAGGCCGGGTCTAGTGCTGCCCTGCATCCAGGCACAGGCTTCCTCTTACTTGAACTTCCTCGGGTTCCAGAGGAGGTCAGGAGAACAGGAAAGGCCACATTGATCTCTTTGGCCGAGAGCGAGTTGAGCAGACACGCATTACTTCCAGGCCATGGGAGGCCACAAGTTCTCTACTGGCTGGGGCTGTGGAGGTACCATCTCCCCTTCCCCTGCCCTACCCTCAGCAAAGGACCCCAAATCAACTGTGGTGATGAAGCCGGCTGCCATGTGGACAACCTGGAGTCAGAGCACAGGGTAGTCACATATGACAATGGTTGAAATATCACAGCCACTCTCCCCCCACCCCCACTGGTGATCTATGGGCTGCGTGCCCTGTAAAAATTATTTATTGGGGCCTCAGAGTGTCCTGATTTAGTGCTGCTGCCTCTGGGGCCGAGAGGCCTGCCTGTCCGCCAGAGTCTAAGCATTAAACGACGCTAAAAAGTTAAACGGCCAACGTTGGGGGCTCACTCAAGGAGGCACCATAAAGCTGTCGGAGCTGCTTAAATCAGGAGCGAGGATTCCCCGGGACATCTTCTCTCCATATGCTACAAGCCAAGAAGGCTCTCCTCACCCTCCTGCCACTCACCCATGCCCAGCAGCCCACAGAAGGCAGGAGGCACAAGAGCTAGGCACCCAGGATAGAACCCCAAAGAAGGTCAAGGATGACCTTCTCCCCAGGGGTTCCTCCAGCACCACCTGGGGCAGGGGCTTAAGAGCACAGGGAGTCACACTGTCCAGCCCTCTGCCTCGGGGCAGGTGGTCTTCTTGGTCAATCTAGTTTTTTGTTGTTGAGTGAGTTAGGTGTTTTTTGCAGGCCTGGGGACTGAACCCAAGGCTTCTTGTATACTAGGCAAGCGCTCTACCACTGAGCTACAACCCAGATCTGGTTTTTAAGGACTTCCAGCCAGCCAAAGAAATCTCACAGTCTGTTCCCATGGCCTGTGCAGAGGAGTCTTTCCTAAGCGTGTGGCACTTCAATCCGTGTTTCTGCGGGTCTAACCCTTCCTGCCCAAGTTGGAGGGGGTGTTTGGACCGAACTAGCCCATGCCCTCTGACCTCCTGTGTCCCCCACACCTACTCATGTGGCTCTTTGAGAAACAGAGACTCACCCATTGCAAATTTCTATCCACCAGGCACCCCTGGGTGTTGGCACCATGCTCAAGCTTCACAGACAGGTTTTCGCTGCTGAGCCCCAGCCCATGCTGCCACCGCCCGGCCACCACTGAGCACAGGGGAAGGTGGGTCTCCGCAGGCTGTCTATCATGCTTTCTTTCAGCAGCAATAAAATTCACCTCTTAAAACCTCCGCTTGGGTCCCTAATATTTGCCTGGCTATATATCTCCGGTGATATATGGACAGAAATTGCTCATAAACGGCTATAAACCTCTTAGTGGAGCTGGGGAGGAGGTGCATGAGGGTAGGCACAGCCCAGGCTGCAGGAGGATTGGAAGCTGAGCCACTTCACTGAGCATCCAAAAGCAGACGCTGGATCCCAGCACTAGATGTGGGGCTCTGGTAAGGATGAAGGAAGGAGACCCAGAAGAAGATCTGATGCCCAGCAGGTGGTATTATGGAACTGTCTCAACTTCTTGCTCCAGTGACATGCTGTGTAGCCTTAGGCAAGTCTCTCAACCACTCTGTACCATGCTTCCCATCACCAACACAAGGATAAAGACATCTACCCAGGCTCCTGCATTAAGTTGTCATGAGGATTAGATGAAGAAACACAAAGAAAAAGTAGAGAGGTTGTGTATACTGGGTGCTGCCCTCAGATGGGCAGGGCGTATTTGGAAAGCCTACTCTATGCTGATACTTCACCTAATTATCCCTCATCCTTCAACACCCTGCTGTGTAGATATTAACTGTCGTTATGTTGCAGATGCCAAACCCCAGGTTCAGAGAGGTGAGCACAGGCTGTCAGCGCCAGAGACGGGATTTGTACCAGCCTGATCCCAGAACTGGTGCCTTACCACACATCAGAATGAAATCCTGCAACTGGAAGAATGACCAGGGCCTTCCACACGGGGCAGAGGGCTGAAGAATGCCTTCTCACTGGGGTCCACTCCTCCCCAGAGTGCAGGCCTTTCTCTGTCCCTGACACTTCTGCTCCAGGCCTCTGAGGGCCTGAGAGTGAAGGGGGTCCCACAGCATATTCCCAACCACTCTACCAAATTACCCAAGAAACAGTTCTCAAAGTGGAAAGCAAAACCCTGGGGCTGTGTGAGAGGCCTGAGTCCCTCTGCCCGGGAACCCAGGAAGCATGGGTCCTGGGTGACCAAGAGAAGAGGGACTTCAGGGGAACAGATACCAACTATGATGGCCATAGTTGCATGGTCCCTGTCCAGCTCTGCACAAACCAAGCACTGGCTACCTATACCTTCTGGTCACCCTCCTTCTCCCGACAGCTGCTGGATGCCTCTTCCTTCCTTGACCCCCCAGCCCTCCTGCACGCCTCAACCCACACGCCTACACCCTCCCTCTCTCCCACAGCATCCCCTGAGGCCCTTGTCTGTCCCCTCAGGTTGCTCCACCCTCTCCCTCACTACCTAGAGAGTCCCTGTGCCCCTTCCCTCCACCATGTCCCCTCCTTGTCTTTTCCCTAGGTCTCTTCAGCCCAATTGTCCCCTATGTTTGCCCATGATGCCCCTCTCCTAGTAGCCCCCTAGTTCCTGGATATTCCTTCCTTCAAGCTCTTCCCACTCCAACCCTTCCCTAGTGTCCCCCTCATCTCTTCCCACCTGCCCTCCAGGACCCCCAGCACCTTCCTGCTCTTGCCTCCTTAATGACCAACCAGGACAAACAGTAGGAAGGCCACCCTTCTGCCCCACACTTCCCTTTCCCCGGTGGCTCCCACCCCCAACCCCACTTTTCCTTAAGTTTCCAAATCAACCTTCCTCCAATAATAATGATAAAGCAGGAAGCCGGGCCGGAGGACAGTGCAGATTTTTCTTCTTGACACGGAGTTTCCGATTAAAGGCAAAGGGACATAAATCCTCCCGCGTAATTGCTGTACTCCAGCTCAGAGCCACTCGGGAGGGAGGCTCCCACCCCCTCTGCCCCTACCTCTGGGAGCCCCACCCCCCATTCTGAGCAGCTGCCTGGTCCCCAGAGCCTGAGGGTGGGCCTACAAGGGGGAAGGGAATGGTGCCTTTGTGGGTGAGGCTGTGGTGAGGGGTTGGGATACACTGGAGCCGGGCTCCCTCGTCCCCTGCCAGGGCTCTGAGGTCAGAGAGATGGCCCATGGCCCATCTCAAAGCACCTTCCCCGGCCAACCCACACATTGAAAGCACATTGACAAAGCCTCTCAGGGCTCATTGTCTCATTTGATACTTGTAAGGATCTTGAAAATGAGAAACCTATCAGATAGTGGACAGGGTCCTGGAGACCCATCTGTGCAACTCCCCTCACTTTGTAGGGGAAACTGAGACCTGTCAAAGGGACTGGCTGATGGCAGAGCTGGGGTGGGAATGCTGTCCTAGCCCTAGCAGTATTTGACTGTGGCACACAGGGAGGGGCTGACAGGGTTTGGATCCATTATATCATGAGCCTAAGTTAAGTGGCCCCCTCCCAAGTGGTTTTCTCATCTGCCAGGGAAACTTTGTTAAGAATCAGAGATGCTTGGTGCTTTTGCCCCACCTTTAGAGATCAGAGGAGGAAAACACTAGAAGGGTGTGTGGATTGGGGTCCCTAACCTGAATCCAGGTTCACACTCCTCCTCCTCAGGACTGCACAGCCAGGGAGCACCACCTGTTTACGCCACAGGTAGACCTCCCAGCTTGGCCTGGAGCACTGACTCTTCACCCCCCAAAAAGCCATAGAGTCCACGCACAGAGCCCTTCCCATTCTGTTCCCTAACTCTCTCCCAGTACTGCTGCCTGCTCTCCTCCTCCATGAAGCCCTGCCTGATTTGAAAATCTGGGTTCCACTTTCCCTGTTTCTCCCTGCACTGAACACCCCCCTCCAGCTATTCCTAACTCAGGGTCCTGGAAGCAACCTGACTGACTCTTCTCTCTCATCAGACTAAGGGGCATGGACCTGTCTCCTTCCTCTGAATAGCCATGTCCTAACTCTCCACCCTTCCCACCATCTCCATTCCTACTCCCTCCTCTACCAGACTCAGACCCCAGACAGATCTATTCATGCGTGATTACAGGAACCCAGGAGTCCTGTCTCCCCTTCCTCAGTGGAATTTTCCACAGAAGGTCCAAGGTTCCTATTTCAGATGCAAAATATTCATGGCTTCTCAGCCTCCCTGGACCCTTAGGGACCATTTAACCTGCTCTCCTCCAGCTTCTTGTCTTCAGTATTTTAGGAGAGGGGGGCCCTCAGCTGGGCCAACAAAAGAGAAGGCATATCCTCATGTGTTCACCCATCTCTAAATAAAACTAGCCTCAGCCAATTCCTGCATGAGCTCTTGGACATTCTGACACAGTAGCAGGCAACTGGGTTCTCTACCAAACCCCGATTGAAGGCTCCATGTTCCACCAAGCCACATGCGTGTCCTGTGTACTCCCTGTTCCTGCTACCATGGCAACACTCAGTGGAGAGGAAAGGCCAATGAGGGCTTTGGAGTCAGGGAACACCCTGCCTGAGGCGTGAAAAACAGTGTGAGAAGCTTTAGATACTGCCACAGGGAACTATGTTGAGGTTCCTGAGTGGTTTGGGGTGACATTGTAGCACTATCTGTCCTGGGAGTTCTGGGTGTTATGTTTCTATGGGGCTTTGGGGGTGTCATCGTCAATTCTCGATGCCACTGTAGAATTCTGGGCATTCCTGTGGAGTTGGCCTGGGGATCACAGTGAGGTTTCTGGACTTTGCTGCAGGATTTCTAGAGAGTTACTCCAAAAGGCCACAGGCCTGTGCTACTGCCTGGGCCCAGTGATGAGGTAGCTATAGCAGTTTTAAAAAAAGAAGAAGAAAGAAAAAGAAAAAGAAAAAAGGTAGAGCTTTTTTTAAATAACATTTTTGGTTTAGTTTTTCTTAGTTGTCAATGACTTTTATTTTATTTACTTATATGCAGTGTGGAGATTCGAACCCAGTACCTCCCACATGCTAAGGCAAGTGCTCTACCACTGAGCTACAGCTCTAGAGCTTTTTTTTTTTTTTTTTTAAGGGCTTGGAGGGAAAGAGAGAGAGGGGCCCAGGCTCCCACAGGAATATGGAGTTTCAGGGTAGCAAGGCCATGCTCCACCCTGTCTTGGTGTTCCTGTCCCGAATCCTGGCCAACAGCCTTAGTTCATTGGAGATGAGGGGCTGGGAATGGAGAGGGATCCTTACTGCCTTGGGAGTGATTGCGTGTCAGAAAGTACGCATGCTCCTGGCTTTTTGGAGGGAGGAAGGGCCAGGCAGAGGGACCTCCTGAAGTCCCCAGCAGTCTTCCTGGGTGTGTGTCTTCAAAAACAACCCTACCCCATTGTGAGAGCCCAGCCCTGGCTGTTGTAGGAGCAGGAGGAAATTCAGGAGGAAAAGATACAGACCCCTCTCCCCAGAGACCCCCACAATTTCAGGTATAACAGAGCTTCATCTTAGACCCAGGAAAGCAAATGGTGAACTCTTCTTGCAGCTTGGATAACTTCCTGAAAGACAGAAGTACGAAGCAAGGATTAGCAGAGAGGTGGGCAGCCTGGAGACAAGCAGATGTGGGCTGAGGGCCACTTCAGAGGTGAGTAAGATGACGGTGAGTTCCAACCCTAGGGACCTCGAGTAGGGGAAAAGTCCTTCACCCCCGTATCCATCATTCCCCTAGCAAACATTTATAAGGACAGCTCTGTCTCGGGCATGGTATCAGAAAATGCATACAAACTAGAGGCAGTGACACACCTGGAGGTGTGTTCTCTGAATCCTGGCTGGGTAAGCTTCTAACTCCCTGCCGCTCCAACCAAGAGAAAAGCATTCTCCCTAATTCCAGCTTCCTTCTTCCCTTGGGTCCCAATACCTGCCCCTTGCCATTCAAAAATGCCCTGCTCCTCTCTCTAGGAAGACTTTGGAGCATCTTGGGTCACAGCTACAGCAGGAGGGACTGGGGCTAGATATTCCGAGCACCTTCTCAGCAGCAGGGAGGAGTGGTGCTGAGGAGCTGAGTGGGAGGCCAAGGAAGGAATATGCGAGCTGATGAGTCCAGGCCCGAGATCCTCAGCCCGACTTTGCATCCTGCTGGAAGACGCATCATTCATCCGCCCAGGGGTGGAGATGGGGCAGGGGGAGGGGAATGAAAAACACCCACAGCCCATTAACCTACTTTTGCAACTTCATTAAAACAGAGTCTTCGACATATCGCCATAAATTGTCTTCTGAGGAGGAAGCCAGATCCAACATCAAGTTCTAGCAGTGAAGCCTGGAAGAAGAGACTGGAATAACCAGGGAGGAAGGAACGCTGTATATCTGTGGCATTGGGTGGCAGGAGTCATCCCTGAGAGGCTTTGCAGACTGGGCCAGTCCAGCCAGGCCAGCAGGAGGTCTCTGAAGGGAGCAGGCCACTGTGTGAGGGGCCAGGAAGGGATTTTATATAACACCGTGCACTTGCTACTCTGATGAAGAACCCTCAGAGCTTCCTGGAGTCCCTTTTAACAAAAGCTCTTCACCTTTCCGGGCCTCCTTCCAGAAGCCCTGTTCTGGCCTAAAGCCCTCTTCTGCAAGATGCCTGCTGAGCATGGTGTCTTTCCTCCAGAGAGCCTGAAGCCAGCACTATCCTGGCTGGGCAGGTGGCCCAGCTCAGAGGAAGGAGAACTGACCCACGGGTAGCAGGGCTGGGCTCCCAATTTCTGACTGGGTAACCTGGATCTAGATCTCACAAGGGTAGTGACTAAGTGCCCAGATCCTGGAGAGGGACTACCTGGGTTCAAATGCTGCCCTTGCCATTCAAGGAGTTTGGCCAAGTTATTTCATCTCTCTGCCTTAGTTTCCTCATAGGAATAAAGATATTTCAAAGTTGTTGAGTTTTAAATGGGATCACCCATGGAAAATGCATGACAGGGGGCTGGGGTTGTAGCTCAGTGGTAGAGCACTGGCCAAGCATGTGGGAGGCACTGGGTTCAATGCTCAGCACCGCATATGAATAAATAAATTAAATAAAGGTCCATCAACAACTAGAAAAAAAGAGGGGGGGAGAGAGATTCTGGTGGATTTGCTAAAAGTTAAAAAAGAAAGAAAAAGTGCATGAAATTAGGACCGATCACATCCTAGGAGTCAAAAAAACATGGGCTCTTATTATCCTTACTATGAACTTATTTATCTAAGGTTTCACAGACTGAAAAGAACCTTTGATGATCATGGAATCTGAACATTTGTTTTATACATGAGGAAACTAAGGCCCACAGAGGGGAAGTGATTTAGGCAGAATCAGAACCCAGATTTCCTTCCACCCAATAAAAGGGTCTTCCCTGAGGCGCCCCTTCTGGGCCTTAGTTTCTTCATTTGTACAATGAAGTGATTAGAGTAGGACAGTGGTTTCCTTGTTCCTTATTATTTTATTAGGAGTAGGGACTTAGAACCTCTCCTCAGACCTCTCAGCATCCCCACCTGCCGGGCATGGTGGTGCACACCTGTAATCCCAGCAGTTTGGGAGGCTGAGACAGGAGGATGGTGAATTCACAGCCAGCCTCAGCAACAGCGAGGCGCTAAACAACTCAGTGAGACCCTGTCTCTCTAAATAAAATATAAAATAGGGCTGGGGAGGTGGCTCAGTGGTCAAGTACCCCTGAGTTCAATCCCCAGTACCCCTCCCCCAAAAAATCCCAACCTTCAAAGGTGGACTAGATCTGGAGAAAACAGTGCAAGGCCAAGGGTAGGAGGTGGTCTGGAGTGTGAGCCATGGCCCCTCCTTCCTCTTCCCCAGCAGCAACCCCAGAGGCCTGTCAGAGAAACCCTGTCACAGACCCAGGCCAGAACAGTCTCAGGGCTTCCACCACTATCACCCAGAAAGATAGGTATCTCCAAAGCCTCATGGAGATGGAAGAAAGACCTCTAGAAAGACTTCCTGGGGTAGGATTATTTTGACACAGTCCCTACACAGACAAGGGGTGGAGAAGAGGGGTGCAGGGGAACGCAGCAGAGGGCCCCGGGGCACAGGACTGTTCTGCCTGCCCAGGTGTCCCGCCCTGACTTGCCTCCACTGTTTCCCTGCTTCCCAACTCAGAGCTGCCTACACTCCTGCCATAGCTGCAGCCCAAGAAAACATGACCATAAAACAGACATTTGCTTTAATTTTCACTTGAAGGGGCAATTTAACACAGGTCGTTTGCAAGCTGTTGGGAGTTCTTTACGAGTCTGGATCATGTTTTCCCAAAGTCCTCCCCACAAAGCAGATTCCTGGGGTCAAAGTTCACATACAAGTATTTAGGGAGAAGAGAGTTGGAGGGAGCATGGGAGATCTCAGAGATGGGGAATACATATGTTTTTCAAGTCACATCAACAATGGCCTGGAAAATAAGAACAAGAGAAAGCCAGGCCAGGCTAGCCAGCCCCTGGTGCTAAGCAAATGCTGTGTGATTTTATCCAACCCTTTTCCATCTCTGGCCTTCTGTAAGCAAAAGCCAGACCCATCCATCATAAATAAGAAACTTGTGGCTCAGCTCCAGTTTCCAGGGGCCTCCCACCTACTCGCAGTGACCTAGATACTCATACACATAGCCAAACCCCACCTTCCCGAGCCCTGACTTTAGCACTTTCTACTTTGGGATCTCTCCAGCTCCCACTTCAGCCACTTCAGCCCCCAGCGAACCACTGACCCTTCTCTGACCTCAATTTCGCATCTTGGGTCCTCTGCTTGTCTTCAAGGGTCCTCCCTAGGATGAAGGCTTACAATTCACTGGGTCCTCCAAGGTACTCTAAGGAGGGGAACAGTCAACCATCCCCACCTCCTTCCAAGACTCAGCTTGGCTTCCTCTCCCTTGATTTTCCCACAGTCCTTCCTTCCCCTCTCCTCTCCAGAGTCCAGGGCTGAGGCATTGGAGGGAATAAACCTCCCACACCATGAACTGTGTCTGGGTGCATCCAAAGTCCTTGGAGATCACAAGCGGGGTAGAGGCTGGAAGTGGGACCAGAGTGCCCTGAACATGCACCAGTTCCCCTTCGGCTCCCTGCAAAGGAAGTTTCCTACCTCTAAGGGCATGTGGGACTCAGTGATTTGGGGATACACTCTGGGGCCTCCATTACCCTCTTCCAGGGGCAATGTGGGAAAATGAAGAGGAGCCAGTGGTTGTAAAGTAAGACAGGGGTCTCTCTTCACTCAAAACCCCTCCTCTTCCTCACATTTCAGAGGAATTTTCCTGCTCTCTTGGAATTCCAGCCTCAGTATTCCCAGAGAAGGGTGATGAGGCAAGGGGGACAATTCTCAGGCTGGGAGAGACCTAGAGGTCAGGGTCAGGAATGGAAGGCAGGATGTCTTAGAGACAGAGGAGGCAGGAATATGGGAACCTGGGGGGTGGGAAAAGCTGTGATTCCTGCCATAGCAGCAGCAGTTGCTAAGGAGACTCCACCAAGGCACTGACTAGAAGCTCTCTGAGGCGGTCTAAGAAGCAGCCAGACCTCCCAGCAGGCTGCTGATCACAGACTCCCCGTAGGCCCCAGATGCCAAGCTACTTGGGCTGATTTGAGAGGAGGTGAGTAGGGGTCCTCCCAGGCAGTTATCAAGAGGACAAGAAACAGAGCAAAACCCACAAGAGCGGGGCTGGGAAGGGAGGGGGTCCAGACACCATTTCCCCAATAACACTCCACGTGAGTACCTTGTGCATGAAGTAAGCTCCCACCTACATGCCTTTTTCTAAAGTCTGAAAGAAGCCTGTAGCACTAATCCCACTTTTGTGTGAGTAAACTAAGGGTGCAAGAGGTAAAAGAAGCAGCTCAAGATTGCTTTGGATTTGTCTAGACCTAACACCAACCTGCCTTCTCCCCGAGATGAGACCTCTCCAAACTGAAGTTCAATGCCATTGATCTAGTTACCACCTCCAGTCTCCCAATTGGGAGGTTAAAAGAGGCTACCTATTCATATGTCTACAATTGAGCATTTACCTTCATCCTTACCACAGAGACACAAAATCTCAGAGTAGGGAAGTCCAAACCTTCTCACAATGCAATTAGGAAACATGCCCAGAGAGGAGAAGCAGCTTGCTCAGGGTCATGTGGCCAAAAGAGTCGGAGCTTGGATTTGATCCACTTTAGAAGGATGCTCTTC